GAATTTCTCGCTATTACAAACTAGAAGTCTCGTCCCTTGGAATACTTTCTGAATAACGAACTCCCAGTATAACGACTTAATGCTTTTAGGAAGTTTTTTCCTGGGCCTGAGTTACACGATGACGGATTGGTCTTCACTTCAGATTTCCCTCCTAATCATAAGCGATAGCACTCCGCTTTACTCCCCGTCGCTTCAGTCTTACAACGGGCTGCCATGATCTGCGCAGACAAGAAACAGTTTTACGGGTTTTGGCATAGCATTTTTTGAGATCAAACCAAGGGGGCCAAATCTGATGCGAAACTGAAGCCCCTATCCGAAGTAAAAACCAATCTGGAGTGAAACCAATCCGGCATCGTGAAATTCAGGCCTTTACGCCTGAATCCACAGAAATCGTAACAGCAAGATTTTACGGTAGTAACAAAGGAACGAAAATACTCGAAAGGATATCTGCTATTTTGAAATGGAAGTAAGGGCTAAATGGGCCACCAAGGAAAATAGGAAGAGTTTCTGTATCAGTTTAAACAAATAAAAATTGTGAAAGAGGTGCATAATGACAACGAGGCAATGACGTCACAGTGACGTTAGAAGGTATGAATTAAGCCATTATTGCGAATTTTTCAAACAAAATGCACACAGATGTTATCAGATAATTTTAAAGGCACGTTTTTTAAGTACATCTATGATTCTTTTTGAACTTATACAATCCCGGACAAAATTGTTGAAACAAAATGCAAACTTTACGTTGTCCCTGTAAATTCGAATGCCCTCTTTCTCCCCGAATCAATGTTGGATTTGAAGTTCTATCATTTCTCCTTAAAAACCATGATTTAACATTGGATTGGGGGTGGGGGAAAGTCATTTTTCAAATGAAAGAGAAAATGTCTACCTTCCTTGAAAAGTCTCAAATATTTTTGTCCGGGATAGTACAGCTATATCTATACTCCGCAGTGTTCCAATTTTTAGGGTGGATTTCGAAAGTATGAGCAATGATTGGATTGTATGCCTTTGGTAGTAAAATAAAACGAAGGAACCTAGCTGCTGAGCGCGGAACCGTGGAAATCGTGCACGCTTTTTGCAAGAGAGAATTGCCCCTCTATGAGGAGGACAAAGTGGATTCTCGGTGCGAAAGACAGGAGCTTGGGGCAAAGTGGTTTCTCGTTAGGGAAGTTGTAGTTCAGCCTGTATTTCATTAAAAATGACCTTTAAATATGTTTATATAGCATCCTGCATAATGTAAGCATTAAAAATAAAAAGTTAATCTGTACGATAATCATTAAACTGTTGAGGAATTTAAGCAATGGGTTATCTCATGGGTTGGTGTGGTATAGTTTAATCCCCCGTTGATATCTTAAGGCCTACATCTGCTAAAGGCATAAAAAATAGATTCTTGGAATAAACGTACAAATAACCATGGCCAAGATGCGAATGCTTAGTGATCAAAGCTCACATCCAATCTTATGGGACACGTCCATAATAGCACAGCGGCTATTGGTCTTCGTGCTTTGGACTAGGAATATATATATATATTCAGGTCTATTGACGATAAAAATTTAAATTCTTTTTTCCTTTAAAGAGGTGAACAACAGGAGGTATTCTAATAAATGGTCAGACCTCTATTCATACTGCCAAAGAGACCACATCAATTAAAAAATATTATGTTCACCAAATATTATCATGTTATCACAAAGGGACTAGTGATAAAAACCAAACTAAAATGATACTTCTTACTTATATTATTCCACCCAAATGGGTACAAAATTGATAAGAAAAAAAAATGTGAGAAAGACTGCGAATGGGTTATCAAATTTAAAAACATGAGGAAAGAGGGGAAAGGGTGAAATGGTAAAAATGCTTCTTTTTATGCCCTTGGCAGCTTAGCACAGAGTATGGGATCTTCGTTGAAACTTGCGCTGGCGACAAGCCCCTTTACCATTTACCATAGAAAGTGCAAACTCAGCGACTACCCAGTAAGCAGCCAAAGATTACTTGAGATAAAGATATTCGAGCATAGTTAAAACAGCTGGTCTGTTGCCTTGGATTGGTTAACAAACCAGCGAGCCTGATTAAAACTAAGAATAGGCGACTGAACATGCCGGCAAAACTTGAATTACACATCGCCCGAATTTCGATTAAGGTAGGTTTCAGAAAGTGGTTTACTAGCAGTGTTTATAATTTCTGATTATGAGATGGTGAAAAAGCTTTCGTTTCTATGGTGTTCTGTTAAGGGACACATAACTATGGTGGAAATTTTAAGCAAATGAAACGTGCGGTTGGTATTGCACGGATCAAGGATTGCATCCGAACCAAATACAGTTAAAACCATGGTTACTTCCGATGTAATTCACGTACAGAGTTTATTTTGTACTTGTTTTCTGAAATGATAAAAAGTGTCGAACACTTAAGAAGCAAGACCATCATTCGCAAAGTGTGGGCCATTCTGGGACCTAAATCATGTCATAGTTTCTTCTGTTCATCGCAATCATAAGAAATGCACATATTTAAAAAAAGAATGTTTGATCTATAAAAAAAAACCGAACCAAGCTCTCGATGAACAACCTTATTTTGGAATAAGTGAGAAATTTTGCTGGTGTTTTTTTAAATGAAATAGGCGATAATTTCACAACAAAGGGGTGCATTTTTGAAAGGCTTGATATTTTTCACCTCGCTAAGAAGGCAAGTTAGATTCATGAATGATTCTCGACAGAAGAGCAGTTTACTTTGGTGTTCCAAATAACTCCCGTACATTCGACCTTCCTCTAACTTTCTTGCTACCAGCAAGACAAAGATTGTGAAACTATTAACTGCAAAACATACAAAATCAATGATGCCAAAAAAATGACAAATTTGTAACTTAAAAAATTATTAAACATATTATATATAAGTAAACAAATAAGGAACATATTAAGCAAACTAATTTCACTGAAATATCCTTTATAAATTTTACTAGATCAAATCATATATATTTTGAATACTTAAATGCTAAACACTTGTTAATATTTTTTCCTAAAAATTTATCAGAAAAACATGATTCAGTTTTCTTTCCTCTATCGATCTTGCTATAATCAAGATTAAACTTAAGTTCTAGTCCCTCTCACTGTTTTGTAATGGTGCTTTGATGTATCTCCGAAATAAAAAGAATTAAAAAAATTGGGGATGATATTCTAAGGTAAAAATGCCACACCGTTTAGATAAAGTCATTTTCTTATGTTTCTCTTCATTATGTTTTTTCATTCTTATTACTGCGCCCCAATTAAGTGTTAAGATACAAAATATAAATTCGGTTGACATGTATTTTAGCGTTATATCTCAGCAAGACAAACATTTGATTAATCCCTAGAAAAATCAAATATAATTGACTAAAATATCTTTCACATCCATGCTTTTGAAAATGTGTTTAGGGGTCATTTTTGGATGAACTGACAGCAAAGAATTTATGTCAGAATTAAATAAAAAAATTATCAAAGCTTGATATTTTTGTCAATAAGTCATTATCAATAAGTCATTGTCAATAAGTCAATAAGTCAAATTTGATATTGTAATTTGATATCTTTTAATTTTGTTTTCAACTTTAATTTTAACAGGACCTTGACTGCTAGCAGCTTCTGAGCAAGCTGATCAAGTAATCCTGTATAAATGTAGATCATTATTATTATTCCGCTTCATGTCATTTTAGGAACACATTCGTTTAACATGTTTTGAAATTTCATTTCCGTGTTTTCGTTGCATCAACAAAGTTCAATATCAAAGATTTCGTCCTTACAATGAGAACAAATTGTTAGGTATTTGCATTGAAGAAATCATTACAACATGATGCGGGCAAACCGTTACATAAACCCAAATTCATAAGATGCGGTAGCTTCATGCTCTCAAAAAACAAAGTGCGTTCAATTTGGTAGATGATAACACTGAAGAGAGAAAATTTATACAAGAAAAGTCTTCAATTCTGATCAGAAACAAAACAAATTAGTAGCAGATCGAGAAAGGAATTTTCTTAATCTAAAATCAGTATGTTCTCATTCCTTCTTCAAATAGAAATCTGGAGTTACCTGAAAACATTCTTCAATCCAGATCAGAAACTGAAAGCTAGTAGCCAATCAAATAATCTAAAATCACTATTTGTGCAATCCTTCTTCAAATTGAAATCTGAAGAAAAGAGGAACAAACTCGATCTAAAAAAGTCTTCAATCTAGATCAGAAACTGAAAGCTAGTAGCCTATCAAACAGGAATAATCAGAAATAAATTTTTTTTCAATCCTTCTTCAAATTGAAATCTGAAGAAAAGAGGAACAAACTCGATCTAAAAAAGTCTTCAATCTAGATCAGAAACTGAAAGCTAGTAGCCTATCAAACAGGAATAATCAGAAATAAATTTTTTTTCAATCCTTCTTCAAATCAAAATCTGGAGTGAAGAGAAACAAACTTAATCTAAAAAAGTCTTCAATCCAGATCAGTAACAGAAAGCTCATAGCAAATCAAGCAGGGGACTCTGTAAATCTAAAATCGACATTTAACAAGCTTGATTCGGCTCAATCAACTCGATATCTTAAGTAGGTTGGAAAAAACCCCTGGTCATGAAGATGCAAAATATCGCCAGTATGACTTATCTATTCAAAACAACGGCAATGAAACAACTTCCTTACCATGAAATATTTAGCAGAGGATTTGACGAATCAGAAAGTCACTAACGACGCATGTGCAGTGTCACAGCTCAAACAGGTGTTCCGCCCTTTAATATACGTCAGGCAAAATAATAAGTTTTACTCTTAAAATTTTCAAGAGCAGCGGGTTAACAGGGTGAATGTATGATTTCATGTACTTAAGCAATGTACCCATACTCGCTAATATTAAAATGCTATGATTAAGACATGGTTTTGATGAAGTGAAACCAGCAGTGAACGAGTCGGCTCGTTGTCGCAATCGAGTGTCGGCACTTAGAAAGTATCTTAACGTGGCTAAAAAACCAAACGGCAGAGATAATTTCTCATAGTGACTGTTCAAAGAATGGAAAAGCGAATTTTCAAGATCTCGCCTGATTTGATACACAACTATTTATACGGGAAGAAGCGGACAATCTGCAAAATCAGAGATGATCACTCAGTTTCCTCACTGCCCTTTGATGACGATCAGCCAGGTTTGTCAGCTTGTTTCAAGTCAATTTTCTATGATTTTGTCTCGGTCCTCAAGCTGAAAAGCGCTTAGTAAACTTGTAATAACTCACTATACTACTGCTTTTTCATTATCATTTGCTGTTTAGCGACCCCTTGAATTTAACAAACATTTTTAAAAAAGTATCTGTTAACCACGACGGACGTTAATATCGCGCTATTGCGTTCAAAAAATTCTCGGCATACGTTGAAATCATATAATGAACAATCAAAGGCCATTGCAGATGAACGTGAAAAGTTACAGAGCGATAAAGAAGTGTAGATGAGAAGAGCAAAAACTAAGAAAACGTACAGCAGAATATATGAATGTGTTTTCGAGTGTTTTTGAGAAGGTTAAGTTGACATGTGCGCATGCTTGACAAAAAACAATATATTTATTTGATCGTTTGATAATATAGAGTTGTAAAAGACTGAAAATACATAGATTCGCAATATGATTCATAAAATTCCTTGTGAGAATCAAAAAAATATTATCGTTTTTCGTTACCATCCAGAAATAAATTTCTACTCTGACAGCGATTGTATTTGCGGAATAATGTTGATTAACAAATGATTCTTTGTTATTATTATAATAATTATTTTGAAGAGCTTTCCGAGTCATAACTACATATGTTAAGTTGATCTTAAAAGCTAATCAGACGGACAGTGACAAATTTGCCATAATGTCACAAAAGCAACAGCACTCTGGTTATTTGTCACATCATTACATAACAGCAAATAACATTGCATTGCTACACCATTTGGCTACAGACTATTTGGAAAAACTGCCTTAAATGTACCGATATCACAAAACATCATGTAATATTGTTGTTGCTTTGAAGCCTATAGATTATTTTGTCGATGTAGCAATTTACTGCCGTGTAATGCCAATGAAAGAATAAAACGTCTGTGTTACCGACTTTATCAGGGACATATCGAAATGTTGGCAATAACAGAACTATTGCCATAGGAACTTTACTTTTTCCTCTGGGTTTGTAGCGACTGTTTTGGGTAAAAAGATAGTGGCCATGATATTTATCACACCGTTCGATTTTTCTGGAAAACAAAGCAGCCAGGTGCCTGTTTACTCGTTGTTCCTTCATGTGAGCAGTTTTTCTGCAGAAATGACAACAATATAAAAAGAATAAACTAACTTTCTAGAATGTGAAATCAAAGTGTAAACATAAGTATAAAATTAACAAGACTTACTGAATTCTGCTTAGTGCTAATTCATTAGTTGAAGATCATATTCCATGCATTACTAGCGTGTTAAAGTAATATAAAGTATACTTTGCGTATTCGCGGAGTTGTTAATTCAACGGAGAGGTGAAAACAAGCCCTTCTTTAAAACACTTTGTGTGGGTTTGTTCCACAGCCTATAGCATAAAACAAAGCCAGGAGAAGCAAAAGCTCGAATTTCACAATTCCACTTTGATAGCGATATTAATATTTCACAGGGAAGTAATTAGAAAGCTGTTCGTAGAAGAACAAAATATCCAGCAAAAAGCTTTTTTAACAAAGTACTCAAGCTGTTCAAAAACTGCAAAACATACGAAGAAACGTCATACAGGGGATTTAAAATAACAAGAAGTTTGTTGCCGGCTATCGTGCAACTCATACAGGCCAGCTAACGAAACCATGTCGCCCTACACAATGATTTAAATCGATGTTTTAAATTCGAACTTCAAGGAAATTGCTTTGCTGACGTTTGGGGGACAAATAGTGGAAACATAATTAATTTTCCCGAGAGTGAAAATGCGAATTTATTTGCCTTTGATCTAAGAGTATGAAATTTAACGGGAATCTTCAGCATTTAAAACCTTGGGAGAATCATGTACTCTTGACCATGGATGTAGCCCATATGCTTGCTGTATCCGAATAGTGTCATTGCAGCTAATAGTTCCAGTAGAAACATAGTTAGATAGCTGTCTTAATTCATCGTCAAAAAAGCTGTTAACACTCTAAATTGCCCTTGTAAAATCATCTGTAAACAAGGGGCTCTAACGCGCGAGAACTCGGCATCAATCGTTCCGAGTCCGGTACACGGATGCAATGTTGTACCGCTGTCAATCGTCCCGAGTTCGGTACATGAATGCAATGTTGTACCGCCTCAAACCAAAGCCAGCAGAGAATATCAAAACATACACTCGGTTGATTTCAGGGTTCTCTCAGAGGAAAAGCTTCCCTGATTTCGGCCATTGTTAGTCAGATGAAATATTTTCCCTTACAATTTCTCCAGTATTCAACCGAGCATATAAAACTTTTTTATACAGAAAAATTCTTATTCGAAGTAGACATGACATCATTGATGTGATGCAATTGGAGTCATGGCAAAGACAAGTGCATTTGCCTCTTTGAATAACACAGGCAATAGTGGGAATACCTTGGTTTATTTTGTGAGTTCCAGCCATAAATCAATAGCGACAGATCTCTTCTAGAAACGATAAATTAACCCAAAAAACAATCTTAGATTGACATTATTTATATTAATCTAATAATCTTAATTATTCCATACTTTTAATAGTTCATTTTCACGATCTGCGTATATTTTTTCATTTTGATCTGCGTATTTGATAACAGTACCTCTAGGACTGAAAACATATCCTTGTACAAATAAATAAATAAAATTAGAAAAGGCCCAAATAGTAAGTGACTACTTCCACCTTAAAAATGTCAATGCGGTGCGCTGTTCATTATTTTCTTACAATTTAAAATAAAGATGGACGCCGATAAAAGTTTGATACCCAACTAAACAACAGAAGATTTTAATGCAATGGTGTACTGTATCAATGCAACTTGTACTGTATCAATGCAATGTAATGGTACACATGCAGAGAAAAAGGATAATTCTGCATGTAACCTTACTCGTAGCTGCATAGCACCCCGTCATTTCATTTTTGAATACTTTCTTTCGCTTCAGTACTTTTCATACGTGTATGCTCATTATGTATCATGCAGAAATATATTGTAGTTGTACTGCACCTTGACATACACACATTGAGCCAGGAGATAAATCAGCTGTATTTCTACCTCAACAGCTGATTACTTTCCAAAAGAGCACCTTATACTTCCAGAACAAGTGGAAATTGATCATTCTAACATACCTTGTGAGAAACTTGGTGTTTTTTCCACTATGTGGATAAAAGAGGGCACTCAGATGGGGCCTTACACTGGACGCATAATAAAGGCAACAAACCTGAGCCTTGGCGAGCCAAACAATTTCAGCTGGGAGGTAAATATGTACACTTGATAAATTTATGGCTTCTGTTATAGGTATTATGTTGCGAGGTCAAGTCGCTTTCATAAAAAGGGAGTTACGTCAACATTGATGGGCTTTATTCCTATGGCGGCTAATTTGTTGAATTTGTCACTTGAATAAAATTCGTTTTTACATTAATAGTTACCATGATACTCTTCAACAATCTTGAGCCACTCCATGATGTACCTACATTTGACCTAACGTCAAATGACATCACGCAAACCCTCCTACTATGCAAGATGATTATAAAGAAATGATCAGCATAATCGCTATGGAGCAATGATACGAACAACCACCAAAAATATAAAACACGTTTATTCTATGATGACTGAGCTTATTGTCCAAAATGACGACTCGTGAGCACCATACTATATCATACAATCCGACATCCATTCATGGAAAAGCATGGAATCAAATTTATCAATGAAATTTCCATTATGATCTTTTATTTCAAAAAAAGAAAGGCTGCTCTGATGAATTTTGATAGCAGTTAATATCATGTCTGAAAATTCCACAAAAGTTCATTGAATGTTATGATATTAATGACTGTTATTGCAATAACCAATATTGCAATAAATTATTTTGAGACTGATAGGCAATTTAATATCTAACTATGAATAGTAATATTTATTAGAAAAAATATTTCATGGCAAACATAACATACTATCACTCTCTTTGGTGAAACAGAAGATGATAATTGTAACAAAATAAATTAAATCTTAGATATTCGATGAATGCGGCCAGTTGACACATTTTGTTGATGGAAAGGATGAGCTTCATAAGAACTGGCTTTGCTATGTTCAATGCTCACGTTTCGATCAAGAGCAGAACCTAGAGCTGGTGCAGATAGGAGAAAACATCTACTACCGCGCCATAAAAGACATACCACCACATCAAGAGCTTCTGGTGTGGTATGGAAACACAACTAACCAGTTCCTTGGCATCCCAGTGTCAAGTTACATAAGTGATGATGCAGCGAAAAGGAAAACTGAGAAAAAAGGTCAGTGACTGGAAATAATGGCACATGTATTGAATAGATTTAACGGGGAAAAAAATGTTGCTTAATTTATGTCGCCAATTTGTTTAAATGTGTGAATTGACATGGAAACGAAACCACCTGATTAAGAGATTATTCACAATGGTATGGCTGGCTTCAAGACATTATAAGATATCATAAACATCACGATATCACAACAACCATAGGAAAATTACAAGATGCACAAAATTAGCTAAAAATATCTTCTTATTGCAAGGAAAGGGGAAACTTAACCAAAGCTAGAAACTAGCATGGCATAACACACGAAATGATGACAATATAACTACTTCTTGTAAGAAGGAGAAATTTGGCCCGTGCTATCATGGCAAATGCTTAAATGATTCGTGGATATTTCGTGGATGGTTATAACAGAGTAAAATCAATTTTAGTCCAAGTGTATGGCTAACAGGGTGACTTTAAAATGATTTGATGAGGGTAATCAAAATATGAATGGAAAAGATCGAAACAAAATTAGGCCCAAAATCCAAAAAGTCATTACCGTGCACAGTCGATTGTCTAAACTCTTTCTAGGATATGTAGGATGTAAATAATTCATAGAAATACGCCCTGCCTTTCCCTTTATCAACCATTTAATATAAATTTTCAAATCATAGATTTTCAAATCAAACCGTTTTCAAATTTTCAGCGTAGGGGTGTCAAACTCAACCGCAAAGGCGTTAAACGCAAGACATGATCCGAGCAGAGGGCCAAATCATAAAGAGTTATTTGAAAGTTATATTCAAACCTTGATTGCCAGGCTATTGTAAATATTCTTTGCACAAATAAAAATGAATAACAATGAGCTAGGTAAACAAAAACTAATAAGAAAAAATGGTTTTTTAAAAATAATTAGCGCGAGCACTGAAAAAGGAAAGGCTTTTAATAATAGTAATATGCAATTGTTTTGCGGGTCAGATATCGTTGTGCCAGCAGCAGGCGGAGACCCGCGGGTCGAGAGTTTGACTCCTATTCCAGGAGAAACAAGTGCCAAAAATGTGATTTAGTGAATTTTTGGATGTCTCAAAAATATATCTTTATTTTCTTACTTATACTTTGATTTAAAATATTTTTCTCCAGCTATGATGAACCGCATAATCAGAAGCAACAAAGTAGCATTACTGCCTGGCCGTTTGCGGTGTACTGTTTGCCGCAGAGGATTCAACTCGCGGAGTAATCTTCGTTCGCACATGCGGATTCATACGCTAGAAAAGCCGTTCGAATGCAAGTTTTGTAAAAAAGCCTTCAGCCAGTCATCAACACTTCGAAATCACACAAGACTCCACACAGGAGAGAAACCGTATGTATGCAATGTCTGCGACATGGCCTACAGTCAACTGGCAGGGCTCCGCGCGCACCAAAAGAGCGCTCGTCATCGACCAGTTGTTAACCTACTGAATGGAATCGGAGGTTCGTCGAAACAAAACAAAGTGAGTTGTCCGAAGTACCCCTACTCATTTGAACATGGATCTGTCTCCATGGGCCTGACCAAAGGAAACGAATGGAAAAGACATAACGATATTGAAGTCAGGCATGACCACAACATGTAAAAGGCCCACAGTTTCAAACAATAGCAAAGGCGCTCATACTTCATCTGCTGTCGTATTCTTAGGATAATATGTAAAAAGACGCTTTATCAGTAATGATACGACAAGGAACTGTAAAAAAACATTTAAAGCCTTATTCCGCTGAATATGTAACCAGCTACAGTGGAATCCTGATATAACGAACTCTGAAGGGAACCAGAAAATAGTTCGTTATATCGGGAGTTCGTTATACCGAGAGACAAGGTTTTTTGGGTCCTTTCGCAGTTCACACCTAAAAAAAACTGCGGTGGGCTTGTTTAGGCTATCTCCAACCTCCTTGCACAATTAACTCTAAAAAAGCAATCTTAATTCAAATAATACAACTGGCTGGTAATTGAAAATGAAAATATTAATGTTCCTTTCATAATTTGGGACCAAGAGATTGGCAAAGTATCACTTTGCTCCTAGTTGGTGCCTGAATGATGTCTTCGATTACTTTACATCTTTATTTGTCTTCTGCTGCTACTCCATCTGGGTCTCTCAAAAAAGTTTTGTCGTCGCTCATTGCCAATGTATCATATGTAACAGGGTATTCGTTAGTGTCCATGTATACCCATTCGTAGTAATTTCTGACGCAATCAAACTTTCATCTCGTGCACTGAGTCTATCAGCCAGTGCTTGAAATGTATCATCGGCATGTTTTACCGATTGAAAAATTATTTTCCCCCAAGAGAAAGTGATAAATGCACACCGAAAATAAATGGTAAAAAATAACAGGTGAAAAATTTATGAAAAGTTCGTTATATCGAGGGTAGTTGTGATGAAGGGACCTAAAAATTTGTTCGTAATAACCAGAGTTCGTTATATCCGGGGCTCGTTCTACCGGATTCCACTGTATTGTTCAGGGAGGGTCCTTTTAGACAACCGACGGAAACTGTTCACTTCTAAGACCTAATCCGTACGTAAAACGTCACAGAAGCAGTGTTTCCTAGGAGTAACGTTCTAATTACGTCACAAGCGTAAAAACTAACCCCAGGTGGGGTTTTAGTGGTTTCAAAATGCGGTAACTTGTAATGATTTTGATTGTAAAATATTTCATTAACGATTGTTGAATAGATAAGATAAATACATTAATATTTACTGTTCTCGAGCCATAAATACTTACTGAGCAATATTTAGGGCCAAATCTTGATCCTCAAAATTTGATTTCAAGAAAATGGAAAGATCGACATAATTGTGCTCTTCAACGCGAAAATGGAAATCTTTGGGTAAGAAAACAAAAGGCAAAAACAAGTCACACATACGCGGAAAGACTTTCTCACTCACTCACTCACTCACTCACTCACTCACTCACTCACTCACTCACTCACTCACTCACTCACTCACTCACTCACTCACTCACTCACTCACTCACTCATAAATAAATAAATAATAATAATAATAATAATAAAATAATAATTTTTTTATTTTAGGTTGGCTTCTTGTATAGCTAATTAATTTGCTCATTAATGCCAACCAAAACTTAAATACATGTTGATGCTATCTAAATTACAAGTACAAATCTATCAACAAAGAGAATAAAGTTACTATTATAAACACCCTAAATTTTAACGAATCGTTTGCACAATCTACAGTTGCAATCAAACTGATGGTTTTTAATGTCTTTTTGAAGCTATTCAAAGTCTGGGACTCTTTTAAGGATAATGGCATTGTATGCCATATTTTCGCTTCAAGAAAACGTGTATTTTCAAGACCATACCCTGTCGTGTTTGGTTTTGGTGCCGAAATATTTCTGCTACTACGAAGGGTCCATGGAGTATCTTTCTTCACTAAAATTTTATTCATGAAACATGGAATGAGATTCCTTTGAGTTTGAAAATTTCAGTAGCAAGCAACTGAAAATTTCTGTTGTGAGTGGACACTGTTTCTGCTTTGGTCAATAATTCTTCCAAATTTGAACTTCGCTATCCTTGTCAGCGGTTCTCAAAGCTCTCTCGTGAATTTGGCTTATTTACTTATTAACCGACGTATCATGAAACATCAAAACAAATGGACAGTAGCTAAACTGAGAAACAAGGCTGGAAAATGCCAGGAAATGTTTAGCGCAAGAAATGTTTCCCAGGAAATTTTTAGAGTGAAATCTCCATTGCTTGATTTTAGTATGAACATTAAATTTATGTTACTCTCTTTCTACGTAACGCTGTTTTTATACTGTAAAATTTATGTTCTGCGCTACAAACAAAATTGAAGATTAGCTTTCCAAATACAATCATCTGGTATTATCAGCGTCTGTTTTACCAAATTTCCAGCAATTTGTGCATGACTTTTAGCTAATTTAATTCAAGCAAGCTAAAACAAAACTCATTTCTCTTTTTACATTAGCCATTCTAGATAAGTAAAAACACTTAAAGACAGCCAGTCTTGTTACGTCAATTGTATTCAAGGTGAACATGCCCCAAAACCTGTGTAGATGTGTCCATTATTATTCATTTTTTTCTACTGGCATTCGCATACATTTTTCATCGATCGCTAGCTTAATAGAATGTAAGAGTTTTGGGCTTACATCTTTGACTCTAGCTCATCTCCTTATTTAAAATATTGATTTTAACCATTGAAAAATAAAATTGTATTCTTATGTTGTAGCTTTGATGATAAAAATGAGCAGCATACATGAAACCCAGAGCAAGATGTAGGATAGATCAATACTTCAATATTATCTAGTTTGCTAGTACTGATATGAAATTAAATCAAAGTTATTATAGATTTTCAGATCTACTAACTTTAACCTTGAAAACAAACTATGAGCATTGTGCTTTATTCACGTTCTCCTTGATCATCTAATACAGTATAAACAAAATGATTGCTGTTCGAAAACAAATCAAGCAACTTAAAATATAACTTTCAGTGGCTAGAAAAATTGTCGAAGTTTCGCAGGAAATCTTGATTTTTTTATTTTGCTTCCAGGAAGAAAAAAGCCCTGCCTCAGTGAGAAACAACGAAGGCATTCATCATAACCCTCAGTTTCTCAACATCCATATAGCATAAGTGCATGCAGCTTCTGTCCAGCTTTGTGACAAAGTGGGTTTACGTGGTCCTTGAAATCTAGGTTCTTGCCCAACGTTACCTAATAACCTAAAAGTTTTTCTTTAACAGATTCCGTTATTGTTGTTGCACCAACCTGCACTGACACGTCAGTGTTTTTCTCCCCATAAATCAAAAGGTGACATTTCTCAAGATTCAGTTTCATACTGTTATCAAGAAACCACTTAGAGAGCTTCTGAGCAAGGCTAGACACAATATGTTCTAGTTCATGACCGCACACGTAGATGGTCGTGTCATCAGCATAATTGCCAATTTCAGTCCTTTCCATCAAAAAGAAAAGGTCGTTTATCAATACATTAAATAACAGAGGCCCCAAAACAAAGCCTTGTGGTACCCCCTTAACCGATTTCTGCCAGGAACTGAATGACCCATTGATCTTAACTCGCTGCTTCCATTAGAAAAATAGTCATAAACAAGTTTTAGGGCAGATCTACTGAAACCGAAAGCTTCAAGCTCTGCAATGAGTAGTTCGTGATTCAGACAATCGAACGCCTTCGCAAAGATCCATTAGAATTGCACCTGCGATCTCTTTCAAATCTAGAAGAGATCTGCATTTTTCAATCAAACTAAGCAGTGCATAATGGATATCATAGCTTTTACGATACACACAAAGATAAGGACACAAAATATTTTGAGCAATTTGACCTGAAAATGTTCTTTTGTAAATTTTAGATAAAGCCGCTGACGTTAAGACTGTTTTAGGCCTGTCATTCTTTTTGCAAAGGCATCACCATTCTTAAAGAGGGATGTAATGTCTTTTCTTTAATTCTATTGGAAATTTGCTTTTACCTAAACTCTCATTTATGAATAGTTGTACCAATGGAGCAAACAAACCAGAACGTTCAGTTAATATTTTCACAAGTATGCTTCTAAAAGGAGAAGCTTTATTCGGATCTAAGTTCTTACGCTGACTCAATATATCATCCAATATCTATAGGGTCACGTAATTCGTTTGTTATTATCAAATTCTCTTGTACCTCAGAAATTTCTAGGCTAGCAGTAATGTTGACGAAGTAATCAGGGTGTCATATTCCTGATAGTGACTCGAAATGATGTATCATCGGGGTACATTTGCGCTTTCGTCAAACATTTGACAGTCATTAGATTTACAGGGATAAAAGAACTTTTTCACAAAATAATCAAACATCTTTTCTTTCTTTTTGGTATTCCGAAAATGTTTTTCGGGGTTATTTCACTTGGAACTTTCGAGAAGATAGTTGAAGAGAATCCGGGGTGTACTCTTGTTTCTAGATAGGGATTTACTGCCGTATGCAAAACATTAAATAAAACGGGGAACAAAAACAAAAAACAGAAACTCACCGATATTGATAAGTGGCTTGTGACTTATCCACGACACAGTGAATGGAAGCAACAGCCAAAGAGGGCATAAGAACTCCCTACGATAAAAAAACAAACAATAAAAGATAAAACTATACAATCCACGAGAGTGCTGTCCTAGAAGCTACGCAAAGGAAACCGTAAGAGCACAGCCTCTTTTTCACAACCTCCCTATCATAAATTATCATCTTTGCAGTCAAGTATGTAACATCTGCTTATGCAGACTGACAGATCAAACTGGCAATATCTTATTTCCTCCGCCTAGCGTATTCCCAGCGTATATTGTATCGTAGTCTTACTCTCTTCTGTACATCATTGTAAATCATTTACCTAAGTTAGAATTGATTTGTTTTTTAATCAACCCTGTAAAAACCTAACTACAAAAACAATACTGGTGTAATAACGAAAAAACTTAAGCAGGTATAACTGTATTACTGTTCAATTTAAATCTATCTAAATACAAAGCAATAAATCAATCAAGATCTGAAAGGACTGCAACGATGTAGCTATTTTTGCTTCCAAATTTAGCTGGCTCCTCTATTCAAAAAATTTTTTGACCAGCAACCGTTTTCATCAGAGCGATGGCTAAACTCATTTAGAATTCATAATCCACACAGTATGCCGTGATGTACTGGCCATGTAGTATCCGGTCGGTTTCACGATAAGAACGCCCACTGCTGACACGAAAAAATTACATAAGTGAATCAGATGTCGTGCAAGGCTAATATGTGTTAATTACAAACATGTCATTGGAAAAATTTGTGTATTTCATAAAATTACCTTCGGGAAAGCAACTATCGTTGTGATGCATTCGTATAAAGCCATCAATAAATTCTCTTCGTTTTCCTTTAGCTTGTTGTTGATTACTTCTATGCAAATATACATCACCTGCAATTTTTCATAATATTACAAACGAGTATCGTACAAATTTTTCGACGGTTGAAAACATAGCAAGCATTTTGAAATATATTTAAGCATTTCGTCTGACTCTCTTCAGAACATAAAACGTGATAACATAAAGCAAAAACTCTTAAATAGGAAACATGTATACCCAGTTGTGGACCAAAATAGGCCAATCAGAAACGCAAGCACGTGATGTTGCCTAATAAATGCTGCTTGCCTATACAAAATATTACCAATGGCGTCAAAGGGTGATAACGAACTCCTCCTGTCTACATAATAGCGGATTTTGCATTTTCATTTTACAGAAATCCTTAAGCTGTTTGTTGATAAGAAAAGTTGCATTGACAAGATAAACAACAAAATATTGCGATCCAACCGGCTTTAAACTGTGAAAGATTGACACACGTGTTGGGCGATTGAAATGCTCAGAAACTGTTGAATTGAATTACAAAGAGCAACTGAACAGCCGAGTAGGCTCGTGATGCGCTTGGGAAAATTCTTAGGATTTATGTAATGGGTCTTGGGAAGCTTCGAAAAGATATCTGAGCAGGGAAAGGCCTATTTTATCAAAAATTCAATCTTTAATAACAATCAACAAACCTTTGGTAGCAATTCAGCAAACTTCTTTTTATTGTCCTTGCTGCCTTTCAGCCCAAGCAAATAACAAAAAAAACGCATGTGCACCAGCAATGCATTTCTATTGTGCAAGGCTGACCTCTATAGAAGAAATAAACATGACTTACAAAAAAATGATATCGAGATGAGTTTTAGGGCCTTTAGGTCGTTTTGCTGGGTTTAGATGAGTAAAAAATTTGAGGGGCAATAGAGTTTGTGCTCTTACTTCTGCTGTCATTGTCAGTGCTCTGTATATAAGAACGAACCTAAAGCAAACATCTGAATATTCTTAAGCACGGGGCAAAAAGAACATGAATAAGAGTTTTTTATAATAATATCAACAGTCATAGCAAAGCACCACAGAGCATATTACAGATTGAAGAGCCTAAGATGATTTGGGGGGGGGGGGGGGTCTAAGCATGCTAAGAGCCAAGAGCAGGGCAATTTTTGGCATGATTTCGAGTACACTTTAGAAAATATTGGGAGGGGGGCTAAGGCGAGCTTGAAAAAAGATTTCTCTTCCTGGCAGCAAAATGAAAAAATTAGGATTTCCTGCGAAGCTTCGACAAAGTTTCCAGCCACTGAAAGCGATATTTCAAGTTGCTTGATTTGTTTAAACACTTGTCCGAAAAATAGACTGTCATACTGAAAAAGAACTTATTGTTGGTCCTCGATTTTTGATCTCACCTATTCAAACAGCAATCATTTTGTTTATATTGTATTAGATGATCAAGGAGAACGTGAATAAAGCACAATGCTTATAGTTTGCTTTCAAGGTCAATGTCTAAAAATCTATAATAGCTTTGATTTAATTTCATATCAGTACTAGCAAACTAGATAATATTGAAGTATTGATCTATCCTATATCTTGCTCTGGGTTTCATTTATGCTGCTCATTTTTATCATCAATGCTACAACATGTTAGAATACAATTTTATTTTTCAATGGTTAAAATCAATGTTTTAAATAAGGGGTTGTGCTAGAGGCAAAGATGTAAGCCCAAAACGCTTACATTCTATTAAGCTAGCGATGAAAAATGTCTGCGAATGCCAGTAAAAAAGCATGAATAATAATGGCAACATCTACGCAGGTTTTGGGGCATGTTCACCTTGAATACAATGGACACAAAGAGGAGGAGTGAAAGGGGCGTTTCTAACATTTGTTGCTGTATAGCATGTGGGGTGTAATTTGCTTGCTGACATGGCTAAAAGATTTTCAGTTATCGCCTTACTCGTATCTATAGAATGATACAGGTACCAAGAGCTAACAGAACATTCATATGTGCGTAAACAGGTGTAAATTATTAACAAACAGTTTTTATTCATGCAGAGTTTTACCATTTTAAACCCCGAAGACTGACATAAAGAAGCGCAAGCAATATTTCGAGTTGAGAAACTGTTTAAAACAGTTAATCCCCTTCTCTAATAGTGACTCACTAGCCGCCTAAAATCCCCTCTCATCGTCAAGCCTGGATTAAACATGTCAAACAGAGAGAAAAGAAAACTTTTCCAACCCATAATTAATATGTCCTAAAGCTGGTGTAGAAAATACTGTACTCACTGTCCGAAAGATCAGCTCATTCAAAAGGTGTTCAGCTACAATTTCCTTGCCATGACATATAAGGTTTGCCATGACTTGATAGCAAACTGTGCGCAGCTTCCATTCTCCCTTTCCTGAACAGAACAAATTTCTAGTGAATTTAATTCGAGACAAAGCCAGGACAGTTTGACCGAACACGGTAGATACAAAATTATGTTTGTTGTCTACAGCAACAACAACAACAACAACAGAAATCTACCGGTTTATTAAAGAGAATATTCTTTGATAATTTGAGAGACAGCATCGATTTGAAATTCAGCAATGGTTTTGTCGTCTTCTCTCGGCAATAGAGTTCCAAAGTGTGACGTCACCAAGAACACATTTTTAGAATTTTTGAATTTTAACCACATAACATAAAAGATCACCACGAAATACTTGCAAATATGCAAAATTTGCCAAATATGTCTAAAATCTGTTGAGATATTACCAAAGAAAGACTTGAAGTTTGCAAACGAATCACTGTTATTTTGGCTCAGTTCATAAGGTTATGAACAGAGACAAAAATATAGAGATTTGATGGGGAAATATCCAATACGCATGTGGCCATATCTCTGCCAATTCGTAACACAATTGACTAATTTTTGATGTTAAGATGTATTTCATGATGCTATTTCAGGTTATGGAATCCAAATACAAAAATTCTAAAAATAGATTTTTTTGATGTCATCACTTTAAACTCTATGTATATTAACCATCTACAGATTAACTTTACAGTCAATTATTAACTTTTTTACTTCATTACTTCTCGTCAAAGAGTATTTTTCCTCAAACAACAAAGATTCCAACTGGCTCTATTGCAAAGGGCTATTACAATTTCTGATAACAGGCCAAGCTCTTCAGCTTGCAGACCGTGCTATACAAAATACAAAAACTGACAACATCAAAAGCAAGTAATAAAAAATCAATTCTTTTTCATCATACCTCTGCTCGATTTTTCGAGAATAGAGCACAAGCAACTAAAAACCGAACCAGAGAAATCCAGTCTTTGTAACTGATCAACTTCTTGACAATTTTCAAAACTCGATATCATTTGCAAGAACTCTAAACAAACCTAAAAAGCAAAATCCTCAATGAAATTTTAACTAAAAAATTCAAAGATCGATAGAAATGAAAAGTCAATGGCAAAAATCCCTATGTTTATCGATGGCGCTCAAAAAATTTCATTTTAAATCCCCCACAAATCCCCCCAACCCCCTCCTCCACAAGACCTTTACAAATAATGTCTGTGTATTCCGGGCAGTCACGTTTTCACTTCAACTAAAGAACCTTGGAATTCAGCTACAGATTAAGAAGTAAGGGAATAAGTAGAACCACTAAAACCTTTTTCAATGTTCCCTCCATCATAGAGAAAATCGTTTATTCGTCAACCAAGCAAGCGTTATTATATTTTCATAAGTTTAAAAAATGAAATCTACTTCTCTCAAAACATCTAGCGGCTATAAAAAAGGCAAAAATGACGTTAGTTTTCAGGTGTTATAAAAAGAAGAAATATGAGGCGTCCTCCTCCCATTATCAAATCTTGTATTAAATTCTTATACTTAGATGGTGACATGACGCGGAGGTGACACGAGAAGGGGGTGATACAAGGAGGGAAAGATACGAGGAGGGGGTGATACGAGGAGGGGGTGATACGAGGAGGGGGTGATACGAGGAGGGGTGATACGAGGAGGGGGTGAAATGAGGAGGGGGTGAAATGAGGAGGGGGTGATACAAAGACGGGGTGATACGAGGAGGGGGTGATACGAGGAGGGGGTGATACGAGGAGGGGGTGAAATGAGGAGGGGGTGATGCACAAAGACGGGGTGGATACGAAGGAGGGAGTGATACGAGGAGGGGGTTGAATACGAAGGAGGGAGATACAGGATGGAGGGTGTGAGAGACGGGGGGTGTGATGACGAGAGGGGGTGATACGAGGAGGGGTTGATACGAGGAGGGGGTGATAGATGAAGGAGGGGGTGATACCAGAGGGAGGGGGTGATACAAGAGGGGCGAGAGAGGTTGGAGTGAACGAGGAGGGGTGATACGGAAGGGGTGATATGAGGAGGGGGATGAGACTAAGAACGAGGAGGGGGTGAAACGAGGAAGTGATCGAGGAGGTGAATAGGAGGGAGGTGAACGCGGTGATACGAGGATGGGGGTGATACGAGGAGGGGTGAGAGGTAAAGGAGGAGGGATAGCGAGGAGGGGTGAAATGAAGGAGGGGTGAATGAAGGAGGGGGTGATCGAGGAGGGGTGAATATCGAGGAGGGGGTGAAATGGGAAGGCGGATGAATGAACGCAGGGTGTGATGGAAAGCGAGAGGGTTGATTCCGAAGAGTGAACTGAGTGAGGGGTGATATCGAGGGAGGGGTGATATCGAGAGGGGGTGAACGAGGAGGGGGTGAAATGAGGAGCGGGGTGAGACGAGGAGGGGGTGATGACGAGGAGCGTCGACTAGAACGAAAGGAGGGGGTGACATGACGCGGAGGTGACACGAGAAGGGGGTGATACGAGGATGGGGGTGATACCAGGGAGGGGGGTGGTACGACGGAGGGGGTGAGTACGAGGAGGGGTGATACGAAGGAGGGGTAAATGGAGGAGGGGGGTGATACGAGGAGGGGGTGAAATGAGGAGGGGGTGATACCGAGGAGGGGGTGAAATAGGAGGTGGGTGAACGAGGAGGGGTGAGTACGAGGAAGGGTGATGACTAGAGGAGGGGTGATACGAGGAGGGGGTAGGATACGAGGAGGGGTGAAAACTGATGGAGGGCAGGGATACGAGGAGGGGGTGATACTGAGGAGGGGGTGATAACGGAGACGGGGGTGGAAATGAGGAGGGGGTGATACGAGGAGGGAGTGATACGAAGAGGGGGTGAAATGAGGAGGGGGTGGATACGAGGAGGGGGTGATACGAGTGAGGGGGTGGGAATGAGGATGGGGTGATACGAGGAGGGGGTGATGAACGAGGAAGGGGGTGATACCGAGGAGGGGGTGATACGAAGGAGGGGGTGAAAGAGGAGGGGGTGACGAGGAGGGGGTGATATGAGGAGGGGGTGAAATGAGGAGGGGGGTGATACGAGGAGGGGTGATACCATGGAGGGGGTTGATACGAAGGAGGGGTGATACGAGGAGGGGGTGATAGCGCAGGTAGGGGGTGTATACGAGGAGGGGGTGATACGAGAGGGGGGTGATACGAGGAGGGCAGTGGATAACGAGGAGGGGGGTTGAAATGAGGAGGGGGTATAATCGAGGAGGGGGTGATACGAGGAGGGTGGTGAAATGTAGGAGGGGGTGATACGAAGGAGGGGGTGTTACGAGGCCGGGGGTGAAATTGAGGAAGGGGGTGATACGAGGAGGGGGTGATAACGAGGAGGGGTGATACGAGGGAGGGGGTGAAATGAGAGGGGGATACGAGGAGGGGGTGATTAACGAGGAGGTGGTGAAGATGAGGAGAGGGGTGATACGAAGGTAGGGGGGTGAAATGAGGGAGGGGTGATACAAATGACGGGTGATGAACACAGGAGGGGGTGATAATGAGGAGGGGGTGGATGCGAGGAGGGGGTGACAAATTGAAGGGAGGAGGAGTGAATACGAGGAAGGGGGCGATATCAAGAGAAGGGGTGCTAAGTAATATGAACATCACTTTTACAAAGGTACCATCGTTTTTGAAAATGAGAACCTCAATTTTAAGATGCTAATTTTTCAGAGATTCGATAACGAAGCCTTACTAATATCAAGTTTACAATGCTCGTTACCTTCAATTTGTTAATG